ACCTTGGGCTAAACGTCGATCAAAGTTAGCCGCATAATATAACATGGGTGACCACATGTTTGAATTGGATATCGCTCGAGCGAGAATATTGTCGCTCAAGCGAAACACAACCCGAGAATCCCCATTCTTAGCAGGTGGCGTCGCTCGAGCGATGTGAATTTTGCTTGAGCGATATTAGAAAAATGAGATAATATGATCGATTATTTTAGGTTATAATCGATTATTAACATACGTTAGACAGCGGTTTACGGTTAACCGCTATCTAATAAATATTTTTAAAAGTGGTTCTTATTAACCACTATCTAAGGTAGTCGCGCTCAAGCCACTATGTAATCGCTTGAGCGACAGTTGAATCTTATATGTGGTGAACCAAGATTTATTAGATGGCTAACTGCGTAGGATGTTTCGTCTGTGGTTCACCAGTCGCTCAAGCGAGGATGACATCGCTTGAGCGATGGAACCTTAACCAAAGGGGACCCTCGGGTTCACAGTTTGGGGCTATCACCTCCTTCATGGTCACAGTTTGGGTACTTGAAGAAGTCGCTTCTAAGTGGGTGCGCTTGGAGCTTTTTCTTTTGCCCGCCATGGTTTATGTTTATGACTATTGAGATAGTCAACAGTGAACGAAAACAGAGAACAGAGAATCTGCAAGTAATTAGAAAGCAAAGAATACATTAACCTCGATGGTTGCTGTATGCTTCTTCTTTACCATGCAAACGAAATCAAACAAGATGAACCATCAAATTAAAATTCAAAACCGAAATCACCAACCATATTAAACCCTACACCAAATGAACAGAACCCAAAATTAAACATAGACGAACTAGAGCCAGGAAAGAACGAACGTCGGGAGAGAACGAACGTTTCTTTTGCGTGCGCCGGCGAGAGAGATGCAGAGCGAAATTATGTAGAACTATAACCAATGGGGACCCTCGGGTTCTATCTCGCTCAAGCGACGTTTTGAATGCTTGAGCGACAAGTGATTCTAATACGTGGTGAACCAAGTTATATTATTTGGCTAACTGTGTTTGACGTTTCGTCATTGGGTCTATACTCGCTCAAGCGATAGAGTCATCACTTGAGCGACGAAGCCTTCAAACAAGGGGGACTCTCGGGTTCTGTCTCGCTCAAGCGACCGTTGACTCGCTTGAGCGACAAGTGATTCTCATATGGCTAACTGCGTTGGACGTTTCCTCGTAGGTCAATAGTCGCTCAAGCGAGGAAGTCATCGGTCGAGCGACGATACCTTCAAACAATGGAGACTCTCGGGTTCTGTCTCGCTCAAGCCACGTTATTATTGCTCGAGCGACAAGTCATTCGAATATGTGGTGACCCATGTCATATTATGTGGCTACCTGCGTTGGACGTTACGTTTACGTCCAACACTCGCTCACGCGAAAATTCCATCGCTTGAGCGAGGTACGCTTACAAAAAATAGGGACTCTCGGGTTGTTTCTCGCTCAAGCGATGTTGTTCTCGGTCGAGCGGCAAGTGATCTAAATATGTGGTTATCCATGTTACAATATGTGGCTAACTGCATTGGACAATTCGTCTGTGGCCAAGGCTGAACTTGAATGAGACGTGACATGCAAATTTCAATCTGTTTTTTGTTAAGCGCATTCTTTACAACTATTAAGCATGAAGTTATCTATTATGTACAAATATTAAGCATGAAGTTATCTGTTTTTTGTTAAGCGCATTCTTTACAACTATTAAGCATGAAGTTATCTGTTAAGCATGAAGTTATCTGTTATCTTCATCTTCATATGTTCGTAAAATATAAATCTGGTAGTAATTAAATGTATTTTGTACAACTGTGGTTCTCAATATACACTCTTTGTTACATGGAGATAGTCTGCATCATCTGAATAGGGATATTGTGCAACTGGGACGGTAAAACCCAATCAATAATGTAATTGTCAAAATAAAAAAAAAATGATACAAAAAATAGTAACCATGGTCCAAAAATCAGTCACTTGTTAATGTCATAATATTTAACATTTAAATGATCCATAACCAACTTAACAGTTATATTACATATGAATAAACTATACAGCATTCATCAATGAAGATGAACAAATAATCAAATACAATATCTACATTTCTATTCCTAGATGAGGATGTTAACTCCTGATTCAATAACCATGACTTGTCGATGAAGATTTTGAGGATGAAGTACCCATTTGCATACATATTCTTCTCAAAATTTCTGAACTTGCTCCTGTACAATATGAAGAATGTCATAATAAATTATATTCATAGTAATAAAAAACAAAACAATAATACAATGACTTTAATGTTTACCGATGTGTAATGAGGCATGCTTTTCCCATTCACTTTGCTCACACCATCCCACAACTCCATATATTTTAAAACAAACAATCTACAATCATACCTGCACAATTGAATGTAGTTATTACACACATTACATACAACATTTTGCAAACAAAATTTCAACTATAATAACATACTAACATGTTTGGTTGAATTGGCAAGTCCTCCTTTGTAACCTTAAGTTCTCCAAGTGGTCCTCGATGACTTTGTTTCCAACAACGACAATAGATGTTCAAAACATTGCAACTGTTCACAATATTACATTATTCGCCAAATAAACATAGCTCTGAATTAACTATATTACCTACGTAAACAACTTAAAACAAATATTTACTATAGCTCTATCAATTGGTTTTCGTGATCTATTATCATGGCCCAATGAATCTAATATAAACAGTTCTCCATCCTTACATTTCAGCACATAACACCACCAATGACCATTGTGCACAGTGGGAGCAAAGATCTGAAATAGAAAAAGCTCTAGTTAATTGAATTTTACAAAATGTAAAATGTTTGTCATGCACATAACACCACCAATGACCATTGTGCATATTATACAAAATGTTTGTCATGCAAATACAATTCTTCATTGTAGCATTTCATCAAACACTTGTTGGACATCAATATAGCATCACAACTCAATTAACCCTAAACCCTCCAGAATACTTTCATTACAAACCCAATCAACGATAAACAGAAAACAAAGCAAGAATGCGCAAATACAATTCTTCGTTATAGCATTTCATCAAACACTTGTTCGACATTAATATAGCATCACAACTCAATTAACCCTAAACCGTGAAAAACACCTTCATTACAAACCCAATCAAAGATAAACAGAAAAGAAAACAACAATGGAAACCCAATAAAAAATACACACAAAATCAAGCAAATGATGTTAAACGAACATTCACCGCAGGGTCGCTCAAGCGACAGACAGTGATGTTCAGCTCCAACGACACGGAGGAAGACAAGCGACAGGAAATCAAGCGCCGTGAAGAGCGAGACGGAGAAGACAAGCAAAAATTTACCCTAAGTCGAGCGAGAATGTGTCAAGCAAAAATACTGTACCTTCTTCAAACATATATTTCACTTTTTATCATAACATCTCCCATTTTTACAATATTACATCTCTGACCCCCTACAATTTTACTAATCAAACCCTTATTTTTAATTAATTTATTTTTGACCCCAGTTGTCGAACGTATGTTTGTTTTCCGGTTGTCAAAGTATCGTTTTCGTATTTTTTTATTCGGTAACACTGTGCATTTAATATTTTTTTATTCGATTATCGAACGGATGTTTAAAATGGGTTCTCAAAATATCTGGATTCTAAAAAATATCACATTGTCGATGAATTATTCAACCAACCTACAGTCAGCAAGAGGTTTTTTATCTTTGTTATTTTGAAAGTTTTATGTAATATTAAAGTTTAATATATATAAATTAAGAAAGGTTTTAGAAATTAAAAAAAAAAACAATACAAAATTTACGTCAGAATGGTCAATATAAGTTTAAGTTGGGTCAATATTGATACACTCCATATATATTTTAAATTTTATTAAAATATTGATTTTATTTTTGTTTATAACTGCATCCACATTTTTAATATAAATAATCGAGAATATAACTCTCGAAAATACAACCCTTCATATATTTTATAAGAAAGATAAATTACTTAAAAATTAACTACTTAAAATTAAACTAATTATAGATTAAATTATTTAAATATTAAACTACATAATACAAAAACTAAAACTTATAAGTACTAAAAAAATTTTAACGCACAAATCTTACTATATATATATCAGAATATAAATCTTAAAAGCAGAATATAAATCTTAAAAGATTTTAAATATTAATTTAATTTTCATTAACATTTAATATTTATAAAAATAAATAAACTTAATAAATATTCAAAAGAATTACATTTATTAAAAAATCAATAATATTTAAATAAATTATGACTTTAATTTATGATGTAATAATTACATTTGTTATTTATCTATCATAAAAAATAAAATATAATATTATTTCAAAAATTATATACCAATAATTATTATTATTTTTATTTAAATAATTTTTTAACCTAAAGATAAAAACACATCTTAATAGTCATATAAAAATAAATTTAGAAATTAAAAATTAAAAACAATAATTGGATTTAAAAATAACAAAAAAAAACAAGGATTTCAACAGTGGAGAGATTTATGCATTGAGATCCTAAAAGATAACTATGGTTCAATTTAAGTAGAAAAGCCCAAAAACATAAAACCCTAACCTAATCGCACACAAAAATACCAAATCTTTCAAAATCAATCGAAAAAAAACGACAATCATAACAAATAAGTCACAATCTGGTGTGATCACCACTCATTATAGTGGGAAAAAAACTCTTAAAGTATCACGGAGCTGTTGTCGTTGTCGTTGGTATTTAAATTCTCGCGTACTGAGGAAGAAAACCTTAGAGGGTTATAACTCGCTTTTTATGTGGGACTATGGCATCCAACCTTAAAAAAATTGTAATTATTTAAAAAAATGTGACTACATATTAGTCAGTTATTTTTTTTTTTTTTGTCACAAGAAATTACTGACGTTTTGATACTGGTGCTAGAATATTGGTTTAAGATGCATATATTCCAGATAAAACTAATAAGAGAATTCCAATGGCAAAGGGAAAAGGAGGAAAGAGCCTCAGGGCCAAGAAAACTAAGCAAGGAAATCATCAAGAAATTGTAGATACCAGTCCTTTTACTAAGCCACAGTTTCATGTCCCAAATGCCCATCGTATCCCTCCCAGGCCTCCAAAAGGAAGTAACCTTGGTTTCGAAACCATCGTGAATGAGAAACTGAAGAGCTCCCCCAAAGTCAATACTGCCAGAGTGTTAAGAGCAAGAGAGAAGAACCAAGATGGTGGTTCACCATCACCGCTCATCCAATCAATCTCACTACCAGTTTTTTGGTTATGGAAGATGATCATGCTGCTTCTTCATGGCTTCAAGGCCCCGTTTTACGCGGAAATTTCCCCCATGACCACCGTCAGTGGTGTCCGCACCATCGTCGATGAAAAGCCGAAATCCAAGAGGGGTGGATCTAGAAAGAAGAGTAGGTAGATTTCATCCTTCAAAATATCAGCAACACATTCTTGCCCATGATTTCTTTTTTGTTGGTTGAATTTTTCTAAAATCACATAAAATTTGTCAGTTTCATATTTTATCTACGATTCTCTCTTGTATTTTGAAATTACTACAACTATTC